TGTGTGTGTCGGTCTCACTGTCACTCAGGCTGGAATACAGTGGCCCACTCCTAACTCACTGCAGCCTCAAACTCCTGGGGCTCAAGCAATCCTCTTGCCTTAGCTTCCCAAGTAGCTACGACTGCACACATGTACCACCATGCCTGGCTAATGTTTTAATTTTTGTAGAGATGGTGTCTCACTCTGTTGACCAGGCTGGTCCTGGGCTCCTGGCCTCAAGTGATCTTCTATGGCACTTGGCCTCTCACTCTCTTTTCCCTTGGGGAAAGGGCAGAGTGATGGTGCTAGACTGGCTTCCATCTACAAAGCCAGGACAGACAGGCATCTTCTTTTCAGGCTTTCTGACTCCAGGTGGGGACAGGGCGTGACAAAGATGGTTTGATGGAAAAGCCAGGAAGGTGAGCACAAGGAGAACATCTGGGATGGGAGTCAGGGAGTCGGTTTGTGGGCCTGCTGGGAACTGCCACGAGGACAGGGCAAGAGACATGTGCATTAGGAGGATTGTGGCTAACTGCAGCCAATAGGGGATCAGCTAGAAGATGGAGAGCAGTTTCAAGGTGCCACCAAATGCCTATAGAAACTGCTTCCTCAGGAGGGCCTGTTCAGGCTTCTGTCTACCCTCACAAACTACACTACTGAGAAAGAAGGGTTAATTTTTCTTTTTCTTTTTGAGACAGAGACTTACTCTGTCACCCAGGCTGGACAGCAGTGGCGCGATCTTGGCTCACTGCAACCTCCGCCTCCCAGGTTCAAGCAGTTCTCTGCCTCAGCCTCCCGAGTAGCTGGGATTACAGGCGCCTGCCACCAAACAAGGCTATTTTGTATTTTTAGTAGAGATGGGGTTTCACCATGTTGGCCAGGATGGTCTCGATCTCCTGATGTTGTGATCCACCCGTCTCGGCCTCCCAAAGTGCTGGGATTACAGGCGTGAGCCACCGCGCCCAGCCTGGGTGAAGTTTTAAGATGTACATATATTCAATATTAATGTCAGTTTTTTAAAAGAAGTAAAAATTTTCTTAAAAACTATCTACAGGCTTTATGGGTGTTTTTCATTGCTATTTAGTTCTGCAGTTTACACTTTTGGTAAATACAAGGTTTTTACATGTTTTTTAAGGAGTTACTTTAATAGTTAAAAGGTCACATGAAAGGCTAATACATTACCTGACCCTCATAGGTGCTAGGGTAGTTCAAAGAATGCTTTTTGGTAACTTACTGACTAGTTGGAGTGAAACTTACAAAGTATCATGGGGAACATAGCATCTAGGTAGGATTCATAGGAAAGACTTTGCTTTTGATGGAGAAGATTCCCAGTATTGGGAAGCACATGTACAATAATGATACAGAATAAGATTGAGGGGATAAGGAATATTTTAGGAATGCTGATTTTGAGACTAGAGGCGTTAGGGCCAAATCATGAGAACACCTGATTGGACTTCCTCCTGCCAGGTAGAGGGGGTAGTTACAAATAAGAAAGGTTAGTGTTAGGAAGGGCTCTCCCACCCCACTCCCTCACCCCTACCCCAAGCCCCCCGCCACTATT